TTCTGATCACGGGATCACGAGACATATCGAATTCGCCATAATACCCTATTCGCCATAATACCCCTACCTCCCTTATAATTTAATTTTTAAAACACAAAAAACAACTAAATTAAAAATTTTCCAACTAAACTATCTAAAATAAATTAAAAAATATTTATTCAAAAACATTAAATAAGTAAAAAAAATAACATATTTATTTAATTATCTATTTAGTTCTGAGCATTTTTATTTGCACACTATGTGTGTGCATACACAGATAATATGAAAGCGATTATACTTACACGATTAGGGATGGTAAAAAAACAGTTTAAAACATTTTTTCACCTGTTTAAAACATGTGATGATTAAAGTCCGAATATGGATTTAATGCATATTACGTAATAAAAAACATTTGCCATCCCTATACACGATCAAGTGTAACATAAAATTATTGCTTACATTAAAAAAATCGATTATAACTCAAAATTTCGCTTCTAAACCCACCTTTCAGGTATTAATAACAAAAGATCTTTGCAAAAGTTTTTTATAAATTATTCCCACTATAATCCCAGCCAACCCTTACTTTAACTTTAAACGACGCTCAATTTTTTTTATACGAATTCGTTTGCTTTGCACATTACACCGATTTGCAAATTACTGTGTACAAAACACTATATACTAAGAAATTCTTTAATTCTATTATTTGAGCTTTATTAAATCTATATACTATTAGAAACATTTTATTAAAAAAAAAGCAAATACGTACCACTTTACTTAAGCAGTTTTATTTAAAGCTCCTTTCCTCACTCTATTGTTTAAAATCGGAAGCGAAGAGACGGGTTACATACTAGTTTATCTTCTGAAAAACTGTGATATTACGTAAACTGCTGTATACAAGATCCCCCAGATATCATATCCCCATGTAAAATCTGCAGTAACCAAATATAATTTTTTTTAATATCTTCATAAATGAAAAATATGTATACTTTTTAATTTTTCCTTTTAATAGTACAAACTCTCCACCATGTACGTACTAGACCCGGGTTTAGGTAATAGTTATATCCTGGGCAGTTGGGTATAAGCGGAAATTTCATTTCCGCTTTACACATAGTGCCCAGGGTATACCCTGCGATCTTGATATAGTGACCAGGGTATACAGGCTGAGCATCCATATTGACGTAGACCTGATTTAGAGATAAATATTATTTTGATTTAAACGTCATGTAACACCTCTCAGTTGTATTGATCATCTCAGAATAAAGTTAATGCTGGGATCATTACTAATAGGAACGTTTCCTACGTACGTAGGTGCGTACATTAAATTTCATGTGAACATTTTTTATTAAACATAAAAAGAAATTTAATAGACGGGATTTTCTTGCATTATCGTCACCAGTCTACCAGTCTTTTGGCCTGATTTGATAAAAGCCACATGTGAAAGAAGACTTTTACAATAATAGATGATCAATAAATTTTCATGTTCGAGATTTCCATTTTCTATTTTTGTGATAACACAAATCCACTAAACCCAACACGTTTAAACGTCATCCGATTTCAGAGTACCAACCAACTTCAGTATGTACGTACGTACATACATCTAATCATTGATAACTATGATAACAGATAAAAATGCGGATTAAACTTATTTGGGCAAGTATATGATAAACAAATAGATTATCAATAATTGCTACTAGACCTGTTTTAAAAGATGCAGTGTTGTTTGCGTATGTACCAACTAAAATTTTAATTCCGACCGCGTGCGTGGTTTAAAGGTCCTAAACAGAGATGCGATTCGTTATCTGGTTTTGGCCTAAATTAAGCTTAATTCGAGTCGAAACCAGATAATGAATCGCATCTCTACCTAAACAGAACTTAAATTCATACACCCTGAATGATATTCAATCTACCTCGATGAAAAAATTTTTTGATAGTTCTTGTGCTGCATTCCGCCAAATTTTGGGTCATTAGTACCTTGCTCAAGTGATTACAACAAATCCGGTAAGATTCGGATCAAAATTTGTTAATCTGGCCAATTAAGGGGCTAATTGAATTTATAAAATAGTTTATATTAATTTGGCAACTTGATTAGCGTTAGTCGTTAGCCAAAATTTTTGTTTTGAATTAGAAATTAGAAATTAAAAAATGAAAAAAAAATTAAGACCATAATAACCATTAAAAGATAGGCGTAAAACATATGGGGACCCCCACAGCAAAAGTGCAATGGGGCAAAAAAATTTTTTTTTTCTAAATGTAATTTTTTGAAGAATTAGAACAATTAGCTTCCAATTTTTATAAAATTAGAAAATTAAAATTTTCGGCACATTGCACTCTTTTGCTTTGGGGGTTCCCATATCCTAAAAACTAAAAAGTACTTAATTCTTTCAGTTACTACCACATAGTATTATTCTGCATTTATGCAAAATTTTAATACTTAAAGCTTTTCTTGTTTCTTTAGTGTTCATTATTTAAAGATGTGTTTTTTTTTGTACGTACTAACTAAAATTTAAATTGAGACAGCATGGTTGATCTTAAAGCCCTAAATATGTTATGCCCCTGAATGATATTTGCAAAATTTTAATTTATTTGGTTTATGTCAGATTTCGCCTAGATATTTTAGGAAAGAAAAAAAACTTAAATTTGTAAAGGTGATCATCGTACGAGAATGACTAATCCGGTAATTTCCGATCCATTTGTTTAATCTGATCCAAATTAAGAAGAAATCTTTTTTTTCCCAATTCAACTATAAATTCGATAGGGCGCAGAATGTGATCCTAAAAAAATCCAACATGTCTGTTAATAGTTCTTCAGATACTAATCCCTATTACCGCTATGCGGTACTATTCTGCGTCATTATTTTCGCCTTTATGCAAAACTTTGGCACTCAATATTTTAAAGCTTTCGTTGTCATTTACATATTAGCGTTTTTATTAGCAAGCAATCAATTTAAAGCACCATTAAAATTTATATATTCCTGCTTTTTAAAACCAATTGGAAATAATGCTGATCAGAAAAGTCGCTTAGATTCGTTTTATGAGGATCAAGCAGAAGGTTTGCATGTGTAAAGAGTTTCTTCTCATGTTTATTATACTTTGACAAATCCCAAAAACAGTTATTAAATCAAAAGAAAAAAAAAAAGAAAGCAAATTTAAGTTTTCACCTCCAAAAAGAATTGCGATATTGCTAGGATTATGCAGCCTTCGTAGTTTACATATGAATTACGCATTGACTTTATATTAGTGATAATATGAACTGGCGTTATACAATCTGACCCAAATTATAAAAACTTTATTAAAAAATCCTCCGTAGGCTGCGTAAACCGTGTAGTTCCCGCCCAAATGTTACGTAATCGAAGCTCGTGTACGACTAGTTTTCTAATCAATTCGTTCGTGAGAAGTAATAGAAGTAATTCTATGTTACGCGCATTTACGTTCTCGAAATGATTAAAACACTGATCTTATACGTGATTAAATTACGTACCAGATTTTCGCGTAATAACGCCATGAGCGTTTTAGAACAACATTCGAAATTACACCCCTGCGCGTAATTACGCGAAAATACGGCAATATCATTATTCTTTCAGGGTCACAATATCACTATTCTTTCAGGGTTACAATCCGGTGAAAACTTAAATGAGGAATGGACTAGGAACATACCGTTTAGAAGTAAACGCCAAACAGTAGTTTTCCTAGCCCATTCTCCAAATTTTTACAGGTTTAATTCGACTGCATTCATATTTTATATAAGGATGTAAATTTATGAACTATAAATATATCTGTTTTAAGTTAACTTAGAACAAATTCGAAGGATTCAGCCAAATCCATAGCTCATAAAATATATTCTTATATATTTGAGCGTCTGGGGTTTGGTCAACATGCATATATTTGTGTTGTATATATTTTGTTTTAACATTCTTTGATGTAAATATTACCATTAGTTTATGATGATACGCGTGGCCGTCTCTTACGTGGAAGACTTACAATGTTAAAGCTTACTGCTGGACATCTCAAGAAACAAATGACAAATACGTCACGTAAACCAATTTGGATTGACATCGGAGGTGGAACTGGTAAATATTAGTAAATGATTGGCTGTCATGTGCAGCATAATGTTATCACGCAATTCATGATCATCGGCTGGTGCTTAACAACATGCAAACAAAGGTGTTATCAAATTATCTTTTTTACACAACTGATGCCTTCTTTTCCTCATAGGTTGGAATATCGAAAAGATGAATGATTTCTTCCCAATAGAACAATTTGACAAAGTCTTTCTGGTAGATTTATGTGCGCCACTATGTAAAATAGCGGAATCCAGATTCCATGCTAGAGGATGGAATAATGTTTATGTTATTTGTGATGATGCGGCTTCGTTTAAGCTCCCAGAAATTGAAAATGATATTGGAAAAATTGATTTGATAACAATGTCTTATTCTTGTAAGTTCAACTGATCCATTCTGATCCATATCAACGTATCTGTATATCCTGAAAAATTCTGCGCAATTGCAATCTGATTTCAAGATCAGACATGAATATCGGAAAAATTAAAGCATAAACTCGGAGCATACAGAATTTTATTTTGTAGCAATGGTCAAAAAAAAATTTCATGTTCACATCCGATCTTACAATTGCGCGCAGAATTTTTTAACTTAATCCGCCAAGTTAACAGGCTACCACATCTACAATAAAAGTTTGATAATTTATTGTAGATGTGCGTATGAGACGTCTAGGACAATTTTTTATAGGTTTCAGGATTGGTTATTTATTAACCTCGCAAACGTATAATAATTTCTTTTTTCTAGTTATATTAACATTACAACCTTATATTTAAATCTACTTTATAGTATCAATGATTGATAAATTCTACCCAGTAATTGATCGAATTAAAAAACTACTATGTCCTGATGGTTTATTCGGAATAGCGGACTTTTATGTTTCTTCTCGTGTGATTAGTGATGATGTACAAGTTCAACAAGGGACACTAAATCGTCATTGCAACTGGTTTACTCGATGGTTTTGGCAAATTTGGTTTGAATTCGACCATATTAACCTACATCCATGTCGTCGTGACTATGTTGAATATCAATTCGATACAATAAAAAGCTTTAACGGGCGCAACCATTTCCTAATTCCTTATTTGGTCCAGATTCCTTACTATGTCTGGTTGGGTACTAGCAAATCCTCAAATTCTGCCTCCCATGTTAATTTAAATCCTATAGAAACCATTTCATTGGCTTCTTCGGAAAAGTCTTCCAAAACTTCTGCTGGATCCATCTCAAACAAGTCTTTTGTAAATAGCCCGGTTTGGCGTCAACCTTATAACCCTATTTTACCGCGTCACACTCAATTTAATACTTATATTTATGCGTTTACGTGGGAAGATCCACGCGAAGATCTGAAAGTACTTAATTTGAGTGAAGAAGATAGTATGCTAGTTATTACTAGTGCTGGAGATAACTTATTAGAATATGCTTTAAAAGCAAATCCCAAACGGATACACTGTGTAGATCTTAACCCATGTCAGGTAAATAATAACCCGTAACGAAATTGTCGGAACTACAAACGATGCTTTGCACATTTCTTGATGCAAGACAACGTTTAAAATGCGTGTCAGGTTTATATACGAGTGATGAAATTTGACAAAATTTGGCGAAATGACTGGTTTCGTCAATTTCGTTAATTATTTTATTATATAATTTCGTCAAATTTTGTCATTGCAAAAAATTTTCGTCGCCCATCTATAGCCAGATTAAACAATTATGTTTCGCAGGAAATGTCAAATTGCAAAATTAAGGATTGGGATCCATCAAAAAATTTTCTATTTGGATAGAAAATTTCTTATTGCAGGTTGGATGATGATTGTACAGTGGCGATTAATGTTTTGCATTAAAAAACTTTTTATATAAGGGAGTTGATGCAGATCTATACATTTAATTAGGATTAGACACTATTTTAGGCAGTGATCTGAATCAATAAACCTCTGATGTTGGTTTACCTTTTTGTATAATTATAATATGGCTTAACCTGATGACGCACAAGTTCAATTTATAGACTCCGTTCTTTCTGATTGCATTAATGTTAATTCAAGCTTTGTTTTGATATTTCATTTCACAGAACCATTTACTTGAACTGAAACTTGCGGGTATCAGTGCATTAAACTATAAAGACTTTTGGAGTTTATTCGGAAAAGGTAACTTTTTAGAATAATAATCAGTCATCATATTATAAAATCAATTAGTTAAATTAGTTATATAACTAAATCAATAATTTTTATGTATTAATTAATTGATTATATAATATTTTTAGTCAAAAAAAGTCAGTCGACTAATCTATGACTTATATTATTTTAGGTAAACACAAGCAGTTTGAACACTTGCTTGATACACAACTTGCTCCGTACCTAAGTTCACACGCCTATCAATTCTGGAAAAACCATTCCAAAACATTTCAGAAAAACTTTTTCCGTACGGGTTCCTCGGGTATCGCTTTACGACTCCTACATTTAATAATAACTTTAAAGGGTCTTTCACGTGATGTGGCATCGCTTTGTTACGCAAGATCATTAAAAGATCAAAAAAAGATCTATGACGACAAAATCCGACCTGCAATCTTACACTCCTGGTTAATAAAAATGCTTAGTAATCCTGTTTTCTTATGGAAAGCTTTGGGTGTTCCAATTCGCCAATGGAAAATGCTTCTTAGTGAAGGCTCGGCGTATCAATATATATGTGATACTTTCGATGGTGTAGTTGCCAATTACAAACTTGCAAATGATGGTTATTTCTATTTCCTTTGCCTTATGTTACACTATAATTTTGAATCATGTCCATCATATTTAACGCAGTCCGGTTTTGATAAGTTAAAGAGTGGTGCTTTAGATAGTATTAGAATTCATACTAATTATATTGTTGATGCTTTGAAAGGATTAAATGAGGGGGAGTTGACAAGAGCTGTTTTAATGGATCACATAGATTGGTTTTCAGAAAGTGAGGCGGAGGAAGAGATTAAACAAATAGCAAGAGCTGTTAGGAAAGGTGGTCAGGTGTTTTGGAGATCAAGTGCTAGGCATCCGTGGTATAATAAGGTTTTCGTCAAGCACGGCTTTGCTGTTGAGCCGATTTGTATTCGAGAACCTGGGTCTGGTGTGCCCCTTGACAGAGTCAACATGTATGCCAGCTTCTACCGTGCGACTAGGATTTAATTGTTTCTACAGTCCCATAGTGCTGGACTCCACCGGAGCGACTGTGGAATTCTGAAATCCCAGTGACATCGCTTCAAAGGATGTGGCGTCGGCGCAGGGACACCGAAGGTGGTGAGTCGATATTGTGAGAGATATTTGATGTACATATAATGAAATAAATTTATAATCCTATTGTATAAATAATTGCAAAAATGTTGACAATATATATTGAATAGAGATGGGCATCTCGCACTTTATCAGTGACGTGTGCTTAATCGTCACATATTATGTCCGGAGCGTAGCGGGGGACATTTAATGTTTAGTCATAGTGATACAAAAGTTACGTTTTTTTGATGCATCACAAGTTACGTTCTTGATTAATTCATTAGATAAATTATATTGATGCATCAAAATGTAATTTTGAAAATTCCTGTCCGCACGCGTGTCTGTATTTGTACTTTAGTGTAACAAAAGCATGCGCACATCTCTAATGTTCTGTTTGCTATCATGTGATGATCAATGAACTTACGGAGTACATCTATTTGCGCAACAGATTACATAACTGATGCTAAATGTTAGATTCGATTGTCCGGGCATTTTTCTGGTGAATTATGTAAATCGTTTTGATGATTTAGTTTATACTTTTTCATGATTTTCATTAGATCGCCAGGTGGTATTGTTCCATTTTATACCATGACGTAGTAATGGTAGTTTTGTATTAAATTTTTTATTTGGTCATATAGTCGTTTTGGATTGTCGTATGGTCAGATTTTAATTATTCCTTTCTTGGTAATTATGCCGTTATTGCGTTCTTGTTTTTTCACATGATAATTAAATAATTGTTGGATGTAGGGGGTGCCAGTAGAAACCAAGCAATTTGTTTCTAAGTAATTTTTTTTTTAACCTTTGAACTAAAATATCTCAACAACTATTAAACCAAACTTGATAAAAATTTTTTATTTTAATTCTTTATAGTTATAGAATTAAAATAAAAAAAAATCCTCACG